CTGGGGAATTCTGGGAGTTGAAGTCCACACATCTTAAAGTTGCTGAGGTTGAGAAACACTGCTGTAATGGATAATTAGTCCAAGAGAATGGGAAATAAAATTAGCGATGGATTCATTCATGGATTCAGCAATCCTAGTAAATGTCAACAAATGACATCCTGTGCCCTAAGATCTCTTTTAATTCAAATTGAGGATGCAGACATGCATAGAAAGTGCAATACAACAAAGAATTCCCAGATGGGCTGTCATCACTATACTACAAAGCCTTCTAACTTTTGTTGGGGGGGGGGACTTCTCATGTCCTCAAAAGCTCAATTTTTTGAGAAACTGTGAAAACAGCTGAGTTATTGCAAATGTGCTTCAATGGTCAATATCATAAAGGAACATATTTATCATAAACAATAATATTTATACAGCTATCTTGGAAATCAATACCTTGGATAGCCCATATAGCAGAAAAAAGGACCTGGTCTTCCTATTTATTTATTTATTTGTCATATTAATATAGCTGCCCATCTCACGAAAAAGTAACTCTGGGTGCCATACAACAAGAGTATACAACAGTTAACATATAAAAAAAATTTAAAATTTAAAAAATCACAAAGGCTAAGAGAGGACAGCAGATGTTAACAACAGTGGAGCCACCTCAGTACCTCGTTGGTCCCTTGGGGCCCCCAGGCCTGATGGCATAACCAGGTTTTGAGGGACTTCCAGAAAGTTAATAAGGATGGAACCAGCCTCACTTCAGGAAGGAGGATGTTCCATAAGGCGGGCAAGCATGGCAGAGAAGGCCTGCCTCCTGGGACCCATCAAGTGTAGCTCTCTAGCAGACGGGACCCGTAGTTTGCCTCTTCTGCCAGATCTGATGGAACAGGCAGATAGAATCGGGGAGAGGCCGTCCCTCAATAACCTGGCCGTGTCTTTGCCAGCTTCTTCCCCTACATCCAAGTTGGTCCTGCTATGTTCAGTTTTCAGAGCAGTATCCTGCTGATTGACAGACAGATGGAAGGAGTCTTGGCCCTTTTACAAAATTTCTAACGTTCTTTTGAGTTGGAAAGAATAACAAGGTAAGGATGGCATGAAGAATATGGCTTCTTGAATTTTTCCCAACCCTACAGTGGAATTCAACTCTGGGTCATGTGACCAGGAAGTAAGGGGATTTAAGAATGGAGCAATCCTCAAACTACTGTCCAACTGCCTCTTCCATAGGGATCCACAGGGGGATTTTTTTCTGAATGTTTTTCTCTGCAGTCCCAGTCCCAGCCCCAGCCCCAGAGCCAGCCTATTTCTGAACTTAACCTTTCTTTTGCTGGCTTCTTCCTCCACTCCAAATTTGGTTCCATTCAGTTTTTGGAGAATTATCCTACCGATGGACAGACAGATGGACAGACAGCTTCCAAACCTGCTCTATACAGGTTTTTTCCCAGCATTCTTTTGGGCTGGAAATAATAAAAATGGCACATACTGTAGGTACAATTAACTTGTTGCATCTCAAGAATATTGTGGCCATTTTTAAAAAAGCCGAGCAGGGCAGTTAACCATTTAGCTTTTATTTCAAAAAGTGATAAAGTGAAGAGGAGAGCCAGAAATGCATTTAAATATTGGGCATGGCTGTGAGAGCTGGACCATAAAGAAGGCTGAACGCCGAAGAATTGATGCCTTTGAACTGTGGTGCTGGAGAAGACTCTTAAGAGTCCCCTGGACTGCTAGGAGGTCAAACCAGTCAATCTTAAAGGAAATCAACCCTGATTGTTCATTGGAAGGACTGATAATGAAGCTCAAGCTCAGATACTTTGGTCACCTAATGCGAAGAGAGATCTCTTTGGAGAAGACCCTGATGCTGGGAAAGATTGAAGGCAAAAGGAGAAGAGGACGGCAGAGGATGAGATGGTTAGATAGCATCACTGAAGCAATGAGCATGAAACTGAGCAAACTCAGGGAGGCAGTGAAGGACAGGAAGGCCTGGCGCAATATGGTTCATGGGGTCACGAAGAGTCGGACACGACTTAACGACTGAACAACAACAACAAAGAAACATTTTTAGCAATGTTTTGTTGCTGGACTGATTCAATAGACAAATACTAAGAACCTGCTGCATTACTGTAGTCCATCACCTCACCTCACCACGTCCCCTTCAGGCACATTATTAAGCCAAGGAAATTGCAGACTGGATACAAAACAGGAGTCAAGACTCTTTCTAATGCCTGCTTAACACTTTTGTTTTGCAAATGACCTGTTACCTACTTGGGACCACATGAATCATTCTCACAAGGTATTTCTGCTGATTTTTGCAGTACACTGGGCTTCCAGCCAAAGCCAACTGACTCATGAGTAGCTGACAGTTTTTTTCAAACACAGATGTCTAATTCCTTCAACTAATACTCAGATCAAGAGGAAAATTCAATATATAAGCAAAAAAAGACAGATGGGGGAAATTGCTTTAACACAACACATCAAAACCCAGTGATAACCCTAAAGAAAAGAGTGATACATAACAGGTTTGCCTTAAGGCTGAATGGTGAAAGATGGTACTGTATACCCTAAAAAGAGGAATAAACAAGCTTAGAGAACAAAACTCCCATTGTGCCTCTCTCTCTCTCTGGTTGGGTTACATTCAACATCATACAAGATGTCCACGAACAAGAGTTTTCCTTACTTACTTTCCACTGGCGGTACAAATGTCTGATTCTTGAGGCACTATGACATCATATGAGTCATTCTGCTACTAATACAACTGCTATATATCTGGAATAAATCATGAAACTTTCTCTACAAAGATATTCTGTGGAATACTTCCATAACTCTGCTGCTAAACACTTGCTGCTAAGCACTGTTCAGCTGTTATTTATATATTTAGAACATTTATATCACCGCCCATGAGGGGGAAATGAGAGCTCATTCCAAATGCTCAAATGGAGACTTGGATGAAATTCGGGATAGAATGTTATGCTTAGAAATGATTTTAGATTCTCTTTTGGGGAAGGGCTGATTTTTGGCCCCAGGAGGAGAAAATTCCTGATGCCTGTAGTAGGCATGGTTCAGGAGGGTTGGGAGAAGTTAAGTCCAAATGTCTTATAGACAAAATCAAAAGCTTGAAACTCGCTTGGTAGCTAATTGGCAGCTACTCTAATGAAACTGCATCACATTCATGACCAGGGACCTCACTCTGCAACCTGGCCACCACATTTCCTGCAGCTTCCAGACCAAGGGGAGCCCCACATAGGTTGCATGTTTTTTTTTATATAATGCCCATATTCAAAAGGGAAGATTGGGATAATCCTGGTAACTACTGGTGGATAAGTTTGCTGAGCATTGTTTAGCAAATTTATGCACACCACTTGAACAACAAACTAGAGGATCAGGTACAGACAGAATCAATCCTGGGCAATGAACAGGTGGTTTCTGTCCCCATCGCTCCACCTTAGACCACGTCTTGGACCTATGACACCTCACTGAAAAATTTAGCTGCAAAAGTTTGCTGTATATGTAGTCTTCAGCTTGAAATTGAGGCAGCCCTTTGGGAAAAGTTGAGTAACACAACTATGGACAGGCATCTCCTGTTCTTACATCCTTTGGGTGGCTTTCAGAGGATCTTAATATCTTAATCTAAAGGTTTTCATACATATGGGGACTTTGGTAAATTTCCCATTAAGAACTACAGAGGGTAAAACATCAAGCCTGGCTCTGAGAAAGGCTTATATCTAAAACAGATATACAGGTGAAACTCAAAAAATTAGAATATCGTGCAAATATTCATTTATGTCAGTAAGG